TCTATCTATCTATCTATCTATCTATCTATCTATCTATCTATCTATCTATCTTTCATTTTTACAGCATATGTTAACAGTCATTTGGCATCACTTCATTCTTTGTGTCATCTTTCTCACCTCCCGTTATCTGTCATTTCTGTCCTCAGTGGAGGTCTATTTTTGCGCTGTCTGCTTTAGGACATGGAGGTAAAAGAATGGAACAATAAGGCCTAACATGCTGCTGATGTTGATCGTTCAGATCAGGTTTATAGTCAGCTCTACAGACTTTTGTGCTTAATATGACTACAGAGTGATTATTTATGGTTGGCTTTGGAGTTTTTATTACAGTCTTTAGTTAGTTGATGTGTAATTTTGTGAGAAAATGTCCAATAGGAAGGAGCGTCATAACCAGCATGCGGGGCATAATTTGATGTGAGACAAAGAGGCAAGAGTTCAAATGATGTCATTTGTCTCTGCCTTCTGTTTTTCCACAGGGCAGTGATGCCGGGAATGGTGATGTTTCGGCGGCGCTGGTCAGTTGGCAGTGATGACCTGGTGCTGCCCGCCCTCTTCCTTTTTATACTGCACTGCATTTGGTGAGTCAGAGCTTCTACAGTTGTAGAAGCATATGTCTCTATATACCTTTTTATTTATTTTTGGTCTGTATGACTCACTCCTTTGTCCTCCATCACTTTGATACTCAGGTTGGTGGTTCTGTCCGTGGTTCTGTTCGGCCTCCCGTATGGCTCGGAGCAGTCGTGCTCTATAACGCTGGTGGACCATGGCCGAGGGTACTTGGGCATCCTGGTCAGCTGCCTCATCTGTGAAAGCGCCATCATGTGGCTGAGCATGAGGGGAAGCATTTTGTACACACAGCCCAGAGAAGCTGTGCAGTATGTCATCTATATACGGCTCGGTAAGGCGTGGGGCTGCTGTGATGGCCTTCGTTTAGTATACAGTGTTGATGCTTTCTAGGGTTGTAGCTGTCTTGAGGATTAGTCCGGTTTTCAAATGAAAATTCTCAACGTTGTTTACATTGATTTTGCAGATATTGATCAGAATTCTTGTCACGCCTTCTCTCCCCAGCTATTCTGTTGGTTGAGCTAGTATATGCAGTTGTAGGAATTGCCTGGCTTCTTCAGTATTATCAGCCGTGCTCTGATGTCACAGCCAAAAACTTGGCTTTAGGTGAGTGGAAGAGGACGGATAAGAGAAGAAATATATCTCACCTGTTTTTTTTTTCTGTTTTTTTTTCCTCCAATTATCCATATGGTGTAAATGACTTCTGTATGTTTTTACAAACCTTTTACAGGAATTGTTGCGTGCAATTGGTTAGTGATATTAAGCGTTTGCATTACCCTCATGTGCACATTTGATCCGACGGGGCGGACTTTTGTCAAACTGAAAGCGACTCGTCGGCGTCAGCGCAATCTCACTACATACACACTCAGGTATGAAAACCAGTCCTGCTGTGTGGCTTTCCTTGTGTTTGGCACACTGCTCAGACACATCTTCACCAATATTCACACAGATCCTTTTGCATTTTTCTTGCTATTAGACACAGACTAGAAGAAGGCCAGGCCAGCAGCTGGAGCAGGAGGCTGAAGTTCTTCATGTGCTGCACAAGAGCTCAGGATACACAATCAGTGAGTCACTTCACATGCTTACTGAACCCACTTCCTCTTTGCGGTCAAAGAAAAGTGCACGAGAAAAAGGATTGAAACCAAAAATATGTTCATCAACTGATGCAGTCATTAAAATCAGCCCAGACTGGATTATTCAATGTGTGTATGTGACAAATGCCAACATTTCTTCTATTAGTCATCACCATTATGATGCAGAGAATATGAGATAGGAATGTGGAGTTTGTCTGTTTCAGCCTGGATCAACTGTCTGTAAAATAATTTAGCTGATTTAGGCGACAATGTAGAAGTCATGAAAGTTTAAGATTAAAATCCAGAAAGATGAACCAACAATCCACCACTTTCTGTCAATTAATCATCACTATAATCTGATCACAACATGTTTCAGTCAGTACAGTCCCAGTGCATTTTGCTGCGTGGTATGAATTTGTTCTGATCAGGAAGGCCTTTCTCAAAGCTTGTTGCCAGTGGATTTACATAACTGCCTCAATTATGAGCCACATCTGTGTTAACTTATCTACAAGGCTACAGAAATGCATTTGGGATAGAAAGAACTATAGGCCCAACTAACAAAAAGTCGTTACAGGAGGCCACGCTGGGTCATTTAGACACCCCCTCCCAAAACAATTTCCAGCTCTTTCTTGCTCCTGGACATTCTACTGGGATGATTTGACAGGATCACATTTTTGACACCTTATTTCCCAGCAGGCTTGTCACCCCGTCCGGCATCATTTTGATTATATGTTATTTGAAAATAGCTTGAGTCTGTAACAGCTATCTGGAATTTTTAGCACCTTGTCATAATATCTGCTGCTTTCATGTCTAGGATGCTTATTCAGAAGTGGCCAGCCTTTTCGCAGAGTTTTTCAGAGACCTGGACATTGTGCCAAGCGATATCATTGCTGGCCTGGTTCTTCTTCGCCAGAGACAGAGGTCCAAGAGATCGTCTATCCTAGACCAGGTATCACTTTCTGCAAAAAAAAAAAAGAAAAAGAAGATAGGTTTTTAAAAAAGTTGAAAATGTTTGTTGTGTTAATGAAGAAGTGGACATAAATAAGTTGTGCTTCCTCTTCTACAGGCCAACAATGACATTTTAGCCTTCTTGTCAGGAATGCCTGTCACTCGTAACACTAGATACTTGGACCTCAAGAACTCGGTGAGTTTCTTCTGTGCGATAATGTGAAATTACTTACTTGTCCTGCACTAAGCCATAGAGTGAAGCGTTCAGAGGCAGGTCATTTATGAAATATTGGATCACAAAAGTGCAGCAAGGACTAGCTGTTTATCCAAAATTCTATGCAGATGTTGTTCTTTGTCTTTTACTTTTTGTCAGTGTCATTCTGATGCATTCCCCATCTGTCTGTTTCTCTCTTTCCCAGACCGAGATGAACATGTACAAAGATGTGTGTTATTATATGCTCTTTGCTCTCGCTGCATATGGCTGGCCCATGTATCTGATGAGGAAGCCGGCCTGTGGGCTGTGCCGCCTCGCCAGCTCCTGCCCGTGAGCACTCAAACATACACCCGCACACTTTTATCTATTTGGTTTCAGTGTCTCTTGAGCCTCTTCAGTGCAGATACAATTTCACATGTACCAACACTCGCCAAGTTCTCATCCACTGAGACAATAACACTCTAGTTAGACCCACACCACTGACACAGGCAGAGTCGAACTTTTCCCATTCTATTGGCTAGATTTCTGACACGGGAAAGCTAATAATATCTGAAATATCTCTATAATCGTATCATGTGCGACAGTATTTCTGTTGCATCTGTTCTATCTAGTGTTGATAAAATAAATCTAGCCCTGATTCCTTTTTATTCTGTATAGGTTTTTCATGTTCTCACCTTGTCTCTGCATGCAGCTGCACATCAGTGTCTGGCTCTCGGCTGTCTCAGTCGGTGACTGTGGAGGAGGACAATTGCTGCGGCTGCAATGTCATTGCCATTCGTAGACACTTCCTTGACAGGGATCTCAAGCAGGTTCACATTGTCTACACATCCTGTCACGACGCTGTGAGTAATCCAACAAGCAGGCAGAGGTGTTTGGGCTTTACCTTCTCATTAAAACTGGATGGGTGTTATGGAGGAGTTTCACAGCACCAAGCAATTATTTTCAAAGTTTCTTTCTTTTTTCCCCCATTTTTTTATGATTTATGGTGTGATACAAGTATGTGAAACAGCCAATACCCATCTCAAACAAACATCAGTTATAAAAATGTGCTAACATTAATAGATAGTGAGCATATATTCTGTTTTTGTCTTTCATCTGTTTTGGAAACACTTAACTTTGTGGGTTCTGAGCTGTGGCAGTCTGAGTGAAAACTGTGTCCACATCCTTGGCAGAAAGTCAAGTGTCATGTGCATGTTGTACTATAAAGTACTTTGTCACTATGACAAGGTAATTAATACTTTCTTCACACTTCATATCAGCTGATTGTTTGGGTGCCTGGTCCTCCCCGTGGAGGGGGCGACTGCCAAGTACAGTGATTGTAGCTCCATGAATACGTTGCTGCCCTCTCTGATTTAGTCGCAAATATGCTTTTGTATGGAAAACTTGTTGCATTAAAATAATTGACTGGTAACCCCCCCACACACACACACAAAAACACATACATTTATAAATATAATTATTTATATACGAATGTGACTGTATATGTAACCATAGTTTCAAAACTGTTATCAAAATAGTTTCCACATTACGTTGCTAAGTTATTTATATAATGCTGTCTAGCACTCGTACTTGAGCCACTAACTTGCAAAGCAGAGTGCTTCTTAGCCTCGCCAGTGCATTTCCAGCTGGAAATCCACTGATTTATGCATGGTGCCATTATGAGAAGGTTCGATGAGAGGCTCGAGGGCAAAATCAGAAGAGTTACTTTTCTAGCCAAGATTCAAGTCAAACCTCTTCGACATATCTTCCTCAAGTCAAGGCTGTCACACCTTTATTATGCTCCGTGTGGAGATGAGGACAATGCTTCTTTTGATGCGTCTGTTTTTTTTTTTACAGTGTACAGATTGTATCCCAAGCATCGACACAGTCCTTTTTTTACAACCACGTGGTCAGATAATCTTTTACTCTTACTCTGTTTTGCACAGGTTTATGAAACTCCATTCTTTGTGGCTGTGGATCACGCAAAGAAGAAAGTTGTCATCAGTATCAGAGGAACACTTTCACCAAAGGTGATCAGCATGTTTTTTGTCTTTTTTGTGATTGTATTATGAATTCAGTTTTCCAAAATATGACCTGACCTGACTCTCAGTGCCTGATGATGCTAACACCTCCAGAGCAGGTGAAGTTCCCACAGTTCAGTGCCGTGTTCTAAAAATCCTCTACCCCTCACAAGAGGGGTAGAGGACAGCAAGAGCCAGACAGTCCGCTGTCAGGGAAATGCCCTTTCCATTTTCTTCTTTTTCTTTTTATATGAGCAGTTAAAAAGATCCCTGTGTTGTTTTTACTTTGAATCGAACAATTTGGGGAATTATCATAGTTTTAATGTATTGGGAAGTGGTTTTCATTTAAGGGGAAAACAGCTTCTTAAAAGAACAGCACAAACGTGTAATATGTAAATGTAAGGAGTCCTAGCTATTATTGTAGCTTCATGTTCCAAAAATCCCTGCTGTCCTGTGCCTCACCTCTCAGGTGAGCAGTGGGATCATTGCAAAAACATTACTTTTTACCTGCAGTCTGCTTTCTGACATTAATTAGATGTTTCTTTTTATCTGTCTCTTTCCTTGATTTAAGCGGTCGCTGTAGATTTGTTTGATTTATCTTGTGTGTATCAGGACGCCTTGACTGATCTAACGGGGGATTCTGAGCGTTTGCCTGTAGAGGAGCAACATGGGACGTGGCTTGGCCACAAGGTCAGAAATTAAATAACATCTTCCTCTATAATATAAATTCTATGCTGATTGTTAAGATTCTGTTCAAGTTTCCTCATTAACCGAATGTCATTGTTTCTGTTAGCAGGAGAATAATTGCTATAGATATTTCAATAAAGTGTAATAACACTGACTTCATGTTCTCATTTTTTTCTCTCTCACCTCCTGGTCTCCTCTTGTCACTGAATTCTTTTCTCTTTGGTTCCAGGGAATGGTTTACTCAGCAGAATACATTAAGAAGAAACTGGAACAGGAAATGATCTTGTCACAAGCTTTTGGAAGAGACTTGGTAAATGACTCTCAATATATAGTGTACCGATTATTTGAATTTGTGCTGTGAATTTGCACTGATATCATCCCAGTTTATTATTCAGAGCTAAAGTAGACACATAGCTTTGAAGTGTGCAATTAATGTGACTACATAGCTGGAGAAAATGTGTTCTGTTGTAAGAGTAATTACTCTGAATATCTCTCTCACAGAGCAAGGGCACCATGCACTATGGGCTGGTGATAGTTGGGCATTCTCTTGGTGCAGGAACTGCTGCTATTCTGTCCTTCCTGCTCCGGCCTCAGTACCCCACACTACATTGCTACTCTTACTCTCCACCTGGTGGACTTCTCAGGTTAGTAACGCTGTGTGTTATACCCACAGGAAGAGACAGTAAATCTGATCTGATGGACATTCTTTCCGTGCGATTACATGCTAAAGAGTGCATTTTAATGCCACATTTGTGTTTATACCATGCTTTTACAAGCCTATTGCATGTTTAAGTTAACCATACACCACTGTTTAAACTTATCGTGGTGTTATTCATTTATTTATTGTGGTCTTTTGATATACCCAGTGAGGATGCCATGGAGTACTCAAAAGAGTTTGTCTCATCTGTGGTGTTAGGAAAAGACCTGGTTCCAAGGTATGTCTTTTATCATACGCACTGTACTGGAGTTCATTTCCCTTTCTGCAGTATCACTAGGACAGACTCTGCTCTTTCACAGGCTGGGCCTCTCACAGTTGGAGGGTTTCCGACGACACCTTTTGGAAGTCTTGCAGAAAAGTAACAAGCCAAAGGTGAGTTAAGCTGTTGAAGATGACAGTCATACTGACATGTATTTTAAAAACGGAAATGATTGGTGTAATCATTTTGCGTCAGTATGTTTAACAGAAACACTAATTGACTTAAGTGCAGAGCTTTCTCGTGGTATGTTTTGAACCAGGTGATGTTGCTGCACAACCTTCCCTGCAGTTATCTCTGTACTTTTGAGTAAACTGATCAGAGTCCTGTGTCTTGCACACAAGAGACAACATACAAAAAGTAAGACATTAAGACAGTTTTCTATTTTTTTTTTTACTTGGAAACAGTGGAGGATTATTGCGGGAGGCACCAAATGCATCCCCAAATCAGAGCTTCCAGTGGAGGATGATGATCCTCAGTCTCAGCCGGCAGCGCCCCCCAGCAGTCGACTGTGGCTACACCCCAGTGACCTCAGCATTGCCCTGTCAGCCTCCACACCCCTTTACCCTCCTGGCAGGATCATCCATGTGGTGCACAACCATCCGCCGGAGACATTGTGAGAAATTTGTCTTTGGTGTTTGAATCCAAAAGTCTAAAAGAATAGAACAATAGGCAAGGCAAATTTATTTGTATAGCACGTTTTATGTCCAAGACCATTTGGTTACGGTTTCGCAGATAATTTAGCTTTGTGAGTAAATTGGTATGTTTTCATGTCATATTTCGGTGTGACTGAATGTGTGTCTGTCTGGTGCTGTAGCTGTGGCCAGGAAGAGCCCACTTACTCGGCTCTGTGGGGGGACAACAAGGCCTTCAATGAAGTCATCATATCCCCCGCCATGCTGAATGAGCACATGCCCCACATGGTGATGGAAGGCCTTAATAAGGTTTGTTTAGTTTTCTGTGTGCATGCAGATAGATTTTCTTGTGTGAATACAGGTGGACATATTTGATATGGGAAATACTTTGTTTCTCGATCTTGTTCTTGATTTCCAATACTGGGTGATCCGATTGGCTTCTGACGAGTGTGCATTAATTCCCTCAAGACTTAGAGTGTATATTTTTTGCTATTTTTCATTAAATCGAGAAAGATTTGCTCATCATTAATGCATGGTCATTATATTTTTCTGAAAAGCAGAATACTTGAGACCAAATGTTTGAGCAAATGTAGGTTCCATTTGAAACATTTTGAATAGAAAATATTTCAACTGGTCATCGTCTGCTTTTTCTATCTCATGACTGCAACATTTAAATGATTAGATGCTAATGTTGAGATGTTTTGTTTTCAGCTCTTGCAAAGCTTTTTAACAGAATTGCTCTTTAAATTTAGTTGTCACCCCTCCAAGTGTTGGAGTTAAGAAATATTTTTGAGGCAAATTTAATATTTAAATGGACTGTATAATGTATGCATGTGACCCATCTTTAACCTACCACTCACCATGCCTTTTTTCCCCCTCCCCCTTGCTCCTGTCTCAAAGCATGGGATCCGTTCCCTCACAGTTGGTGCATGGTCCTCTCTGGGTTTCTAGGACTTTTCACACCTGTATCGATTATGGGGCTTTAACGTGTATGACTGCATGTGGAGGATCCACTGTGGGGTTTGCATTTTTTGTGGCTGCAGAGTTAACCTTGTGCATTTGTTCCTGTCTGTGTATAATGCGTAATTTTCACTTGCTTTTTCTTGTGGTAGTTCAACTCATGCTTTTTAGAAAAGTTGAAACGTTATAAAAATGAATGTTAGTGTGATGTACATAGTATGTAGTGTGATACTTCTGGTGTTTCTACAGGTACTGGAACGCTTTTGTCCCCTGCCCGAGCAGGAAATTTGGGAACCAGAGGAAGTGGGATTCAGTCAGCCATCCAGCACCACAACTGTGTTTATAACCTCAGAAAATGAGCTTAACAGTAGTCCTCCTCCCTATGATTCTTCCTCTACTGCCAATAAAGCTCTCCAGTCTTGCACGGCTGTCCCTGCTGAGACAGAAGCTGTCTCAGTCCCTCCGACAGATGCCACATATTCCTCTTTTCCAGTTGCTGAGTCTGCTCCTCCACCTCCCTCTCCATCAGACTTTGCCTCAGCCTCTCCACCAAATTCTGCTTCTGTCCTTTCACTCTCTAACTTTCCTTCCAGCCCTCACACAGAAGCATTTCCAGCTGAAAATTATTTGCACATGTCATCACACGCCAAATCAGAGCTATCCATCTATCACTCTTGTGTAGATATTATTGCTGCTCGTTCTTCTGAATTCTTATCTGGTGAATCTTAATACACTGTTCTCAAGATGGTAATAGTATGAGGTTAGTTGTTTATAAGTGCCAAACAGTCTCTATGTTCTTGATCTTTGTACACTTTATCACTCTGTGTTTACATTTGTCCTTATTAGCCAATGTGGACAACAAAAATAAACCAAACTATTAAGTTAATGAAATTGTGACTAAATGGCTTGACTAAGATGATAATTCAAAATTTATTATTGCCTTAATTAGTGCCAACCACCTCAAATGGCTGCCTTTAGTCCAGAAATAGTAGTGAACCGTGCAGAGGCCCTTCCATTCCTCCAATTGAGAGCAGCCTTGAAAGCCCACAGTGCAGAGCAGCCCAACTGGTAAAAAGTCCCGCCTTACCATTCCAGATGGCATGATTGCGCTTTCCACTTACACATAAAGCATTCGCTGAATGCATTAAGTCGTAACGATTTCCATAAAAGCAGATAAGTGTTTGTGGAAAGTGGGTATGAAGTATATGAAGAGATGACAAATCAGGTTCATGCACCAAACGTGCACAAGGCAAGATTTGATTTAAAAAAATAGCTCTTGGATTATATCACAGGTAAATGGTATTTATTATGGTAGAGCATGTATGTCATCCTTTTCAGTGTAGAACTGTAGTTATTCTCAACAGCACTGCATGAGTCCTGACCACCACCATTCTCTCATTGTCCAGCTTTTCTTAATCAATCTTTTATTCTCTTCCAGTTCTTCCTCAGCCACGGCATGTTTGTTTGAGAGCTTTAACGTGAACTTTCTCACCTTATGTTATAACCGGACAAGTTGTCTCTGGGTTCACAAAGTTTCCACAGCAACCTAATTTCTTCCACATTAACTGCTCTGTCTTTATTCTTGGCTGTTCGATTATGCAGCAGCTGCAGCTCTTCTGTTTCAATGTTTGTTCCCTTTTTTTGCTTTGTGATAGCACGCATTCAACCTTTTCACCATAACTGTTCCTTAAAGAAACTGACTGTTACTCATTAGGTGCTGATTAAGTAACAAGAGCCAACAAATGTGGAATCACGGGACGACTGGCTCAGCCTTGTTTTTCTGTTCCACTCTAAAGTTGCTGCCCACCGTCTCTGCTGGGTTTTTTCTCATGTTACCAACTCGATTGTCACAATTGTGACTGTAAAGTGGAAAACTGTTTTTATGTCATCTCTCATTATAATGTTCTTTAATTACATATATCAAGTGAATCTAAGGCTCTTAAGAGTGCAGTAACTTACCACGTAGGGCAAGTATTTATATGTGCGTGTTTCTTTTCCATCATTAATTGGTCACTATGACCTCTTTAAGTAATTTCATATTGCTGCAGCCAAATGTTGATGCTGTCATTTTTCCACTTGCAGCATTCATTCCCACATGTGTAATTAGTTTCACACTGCCAAGTAACATATTTTCATTTTTTATTCCTAAATATCTAATTAAATTAACTATAATAAGAATTCTTTTGTTCTCAAAAAACCCATGTCCATGAGATTCTTACATGCTTCATGTTTTAGTATTCCATTCCATAGTCCTTGGATTTATATGCATATATGTGTGTGTGTGTGTGTGTTTTCATATTCTCATTGTTGTTTTATATACTAATATGCTGTTTTAATTCATTAAAGTTGACCAAATGTTTGTAATTGTGTGCTGATGTAATTTTCCAATGTTTGCTTTATTCACATTGATAACAAAGCACAATTTATAATCTGCTGAAGGTTTGTCTTGAATGCTCTCTATGCATGCGATTGTCATGCAATTTTACTATAGGAGTAGGTCTTGCATTGCTCTTGCTAAGGCATCATTTCTCCGTTGTGGGTGTTTAATGTCAGTCGGAGTAGGCGTAAACTCACCTCTTTAGTAGACTTACATTTAACTGGACTGAGCTGCTTTTTAATATTTTGTTCCCACATTTAATCGTACGTGCTGCTGTGTATGTGTGTCTTTGTTACTTGGATAATGACATAGTAAAAGTAAATGATCTTAGTGCAGATGATCCACGTACATAACAATACATTTAGATTCTTGCTTTTATTGCATCTGATGAATAGCTCCACTGTTGAGAAATGAAAGGTGTCGGCTTTCTGATTCACTCCAAGGTGACCAATTGTCTGTTCATCAACACAACACAATCTCAAATTTACGCCTACTGTATTTCAGACTTTGTGCTGATCCAAAGAAAAAAATGTGTGCCTGTCTTATTGTTTAAATGAGAAGTCTCTTCTTCCAGTTTTCTCAAAAAGTCTTAAATAACTAAAAATAAAAGAAGTCTATACTAATCTGTATTAGTTGCATGTTACATGATGAAATTTCACTTGTATAAGAGTTTAGTAAGGGTTTTCAACTTGTTTATGAGAGTTTGAACATGAAACGTGTGTCAGTTAGTGTTCTAAACTTTAATCTGAGTTTGTGTTTCCATTTGTCTGCAGTTGTTTGGTTGTGTACATCTTCCCAGCTCTAAGGCTTTTTGCAAACATTTATCTCTGAAGTCATGTGCCTGTGTATACCTTTGTGCCCTCGACAGGTGCTGGAGAACTACAATAAAGGCAAAACTGCTTTACTGTCAGCGGCCAAGATCATGGTGAGCCCCACAGAAGTGGACTTGAACCCAGAGGCACTGTTTGTGGATGCCTCGACAACCTCTCAGCAGCCGACGCCTACACCCCACCACCGCAGGAACAGTAGTGTTCGGTTAGTACATCAGGCACGGCAGTGGGTGTGCTTGAACCTCAAACATTCTGTTGGATCCTGGATTCTGCAGTCAGTTTTCACCCTAACCTAGTATGTAGTGATGCAAAGCTCATATAAAAACTGTAGGTGTATTTCTTACATAACTATGTAGTACTGAAGGATATGCTACTAACTGCTACTTTATTGTTTTTCTCAAAACTATCATTTGTGTCTGTTCTGTTTTGTTTTTTAAAAAAAAGACAAAAAGCATTGTCACGGTAAGCAAAGCATGCTAGTACTAATTTTTAATAATGTGCTCCCTTCTCTCATGCACGCCTGCACGTTCTTGTAACCACAGAGCAGTTGCAAAGTATGGTAGTATTCAATTTCCACCTCGCCCTCTCTGGTTTAGCCTGTGTCCAAAGCAAGTGTGAGCTCCTGGTAGTAACCAGCCTAATTATGATTTTCCTTCTCCTGTTTTGGATGCTAGTACAGGAGCATTCGCACACACTTAGGTTCTACTCCATGGATGCCTATCATTATGCTCACAGGTCTCCTCAGTCTGAGTGAAGAGGCAAAAACGAGATGCAAGGAAGGATAAACCTGAATGTCCTCCTTACACACTCCCTGAGAAGCCTCCTCATCTCTTTTAGCTGCATTCGTTGGATTAAATTTAGAAAATCTCCATGATGGAGGTGGGGGGTAATTTTCTGGGCCTTAGAAGGTGAACACGAGGAAGCCTAAGTGAACAAAATGATCAGCACCCCAGGTCTTCTAATCCCTTTTCTCTGTTCTATCTTTTATGTACAAGATATACTGTTGTGATCACGTAGTCTGTAGAATCTAGACATAGTTGTGGTACTAACACGTACCTCTGCTTCCCCCACCCCTCGTAACCCTCTCTAAGTTGTTTTGACCCGTTCTTCACATCTCTCTTGTGTTTTGAATCCCTCTTCCCCTCCTTGCCCTGTCATTGCTCTCAACCCGCTCTTCTCCTCTAGTTCGTGTGCCCAGTCTGAAATATCTCTGGATGGTTTCTCTGAGTGCCCTCCTCCCCCAGTGCCTGTAGTGCTGCGTGGAGCACGGGAGCGTTTGGCAGTGGAGCTTAGGGACCGCAAAGCTCCACTGGCTGTCATGGAGAGCCTCTCGGATGCAGAGTCCCTCTATAGTCTGGATTCACGACGTTCCTCAGCTGCATTAAGGGGTTCACCCATGCTCAGTAGCCTACCATTCCCTTTGGACGCCCCAATTCCAGAGGAGAATCCATCTCTAAGCTCTCGCACTGAACTGTTGGCCGCAGACTGCCTCTGCCAGGCAACGCCAGAGCACTTGGGTGAAGTCGGACCCTTTTTTACCCCAATGGATGCCAGATCCACTCCAGATTACTCCATGAAGCTGTCTCCTGCCACGCCTCGTTACAGTGGACACCATTCCCCAACTCTTCTGAACCAGAGTGTCTTGGCGCAGCATTTCAAACCAGACTCTAATGCCACCCCAACAGCACTCCCAGATGGAGATCAGATGCCTGGTATCTACAGTCCAGGGAGCACTCCTAACGCTCCCCTAAGCCCACAAATGGGCTCCAAACCAGTGTGTAGAGAGGGGGAGTACTTGGAGCAGGAGACGGCCGAGAAACGGTTGAGCGCAGAAACCGCACCGACAGCTTCTACCCCTCCACCTCAACTCTCCAATGGAAACCCCAGTCAGGCAGTGCTGGAGTTTGCTCAGTACTTGGACTCTCTATTCAGACTGGACGGCAGCAGTTCTCCACCCCTGGAATTATCTGACGGGGAGTCGGAGTCGGGCCGGGGCTCGTTCGGTCAGGCCGAGTGTCTGGGAGATAGACAGCAATTAGATGACAAACAACTCCTGGCCAGAGCGACGCTGGAGCCCAACCTGGTCCCCAAGCCTCCGCGCACTTTTGCAGAATCTGCTGACCCCTCTTCAGGCATATCCTTGTCCCCCTCCTTCCCTCTCTCATCATCTGAAGAGCTCAACGACCTCTCCCCTGGCGAGGGCCCCCCCCCTGCCATAAACTCCTTACGAACATCGAGCCCTTGCCACTGTCCTGAAGAGAACACGCTGTCGTCGATGGTGTAGTCTGCTCTGATGAGATGTGCGGTAATCCAACTTTTCCTACATATCACAGTACATGCATGCTGTGGAATGCAGTCTCTCATCAGAGATCCAATGAAAGAACTTTAGAGACCAACTCACAAACTTATATCCATTCTTCAGGTTCCCCTTTGGACTCTGTTTATAGCATTTTCACAGTGTTGTAACAACAACAACAACAACAACAACAAAATAAGATACCTCTCTCTGCATGCCAGGGGGCTGTGCTGCTTTTGGGTGTATATAAACAACTGTAGCTTCACAATGCCATTCCAAAACAATGTTGTCTCACCCACAGGGGGATGGGTCTGCATTACATCAAGTCCCCAACTTACCTAAATCAAAGGGAGAATAGTTTACTGAGCAGGGATTTAGAAGCTAACACTGTACAAAAAGGTTAGTGTAGGCACACCAGTGGGGTTGATGCACTGTACAACTTCCTGCATCGTCAGCAGCTTTTGAAACGTGTCCAGCTTTTATTTATTTAGTTTTTCTACATAAGGAGTATGGAGATGGACATATTTATTAATCAGCAGAAGTGAGAAGACTTTAAGAAAAGTTCCTCAGGTCTACAGAGAATTGACTTTGAGAAAGAGAGTAAGTGAATTACGTTGGTGAGAATACATGTGTCTTAAGCATTTAGTGATTGTGACATTGTTATTACAGATGCCTATGGACGTTTGAGTCTTTTGGTTAAACTTTATAATGCATGAAGACTTTTTTTAAATTCATTTATTCTTGAAAAGAACTTGTCACTAAGCCACTTAGATGGACATTTGGTTTCTCTTGCACACATCACATTGCTCAGTGTACCCCCTTTGCCAAAAAAAGAAAAGAATACCTTGTCTTGCCAAATGTATTGATGATATGTAATTTTGTATATGTATATTGCTTTATTTAAACACAGGCTCATTTTATTATCTCCTTCCTTAGCAATCCTGTCAGTTCCCATGTAGACTGTTACACTGCAACACCATAAAAAAATGTCATCCTGACATCAAAACACTGCCATGGCTTTCAAAAACAGAACCTCTGCTCGTTGGGCTTGAGCAAATGATAGACTCGCTAATAGTCTCTCTTGAATACTGTACATTTCTATCTAAAAGATGTTAGCATTGTACCCAGATCAGAATGTGCATGCTTTTATGCATTTAAGAGTAGCATGGCTGGTATAGAACCACAGTAAATAAGCTCTAAATATGTCCAAAAATGACCAGCATTTACAAACACACACTCGTGAGAGGCTAATCAGATACCCAGGTCACCAGATAGGACTAAACTGTGTTTCCTAATGGTGTCCCAGGATGTTATTTATATTGTTCTGAAGGTGCTCTCAATCATTTTGGACATCAAGGTGTTTGCTTCCCTTTAATCTGGTTCATTTCAAGACATCCTTGAAGTTGGACTCGATGAATAAATGGCATCGAACATTATGCCAGTTCTGAAGGTGGAATACAATCTTCCATATCGTTTTTGGGTGTAACAGGTTTCTCACAATTATTTATTAAAGATAGTGTTGTTATCACTTTATTGCTATATTTGATGGTATTATTATCCTTATTGCTCTTACAACAGATTGGTTTGACGTCAGTGATTTTTGTCTAAGTTTTTAAGACAGTGTGGGAAACTTTTTAGACTTTCCCAAATGTAAGGAGTTATCTATTTCACCTTTTTTTTTTTTTACTGTCTGAATGCAATATGACATTCTGCCAATGTGCTTTTTTTTAAACAAAAAGATAAAAAGTCTTCACAAATGTGTCAAACATGCTGCCAGATGACAGCCTTTTCACAGTTACCCTTGGTGCATCGCCTTCATTAAGCCCGGGCTCGCCACAGTGACCTGCACCGCCTCTCTAAGTGATACGATCAGCAGACGGATCCAGTCCACAGTCTGACACCACTCTGTTTATGCTGCCAGTACTGCGAGATACACGAATACTGGGTCAGCAATTTTCTATATGCAGTAGCATTTCTTGCAGCTGGTCATCCACGAAACACTGCAAAATCAGAAAGTACCAATTTTACTCCACCGCCATGTGTACAGCACTGTCTTTCGTGTGTAATTATTTATTCAGATGTCTATAAAAAGATGAATTCCAATAGAGTCATGTAGAGAACAACTATATAACAATAAGAAGATGACTGTATTTAAAAATATCAGTACTGACATGTAGAAAAAGCTATTTATTCAAGCTATTGGCAAATTTATAAATTGGTCTATATTGGAGAGAATTAGCCAACTATGTCTTGTCCATGTTTACCTGATTTGCTTTCCCTCCTTCCTGTCCTACATTGAGAATGTATTTAATCCCTGGCCCTCACTGCCCTGCCTGTAATTGAATAAACTACAAACTATGAGAGAAAATCATGAGTCTGTGTCATAACTTGTTCATAATGGGATAATGCGCTATTGTCAATGTGCTGCTGACTCAATGAGACGTAAATTGTGGGCCATAAATGTTGTTGTTTTTTTTATATCTGAGTGCAAATATATTTTGGGTAAAGGTTACCATGGGTTGGAGCTTATGTTTTGTGTAGATCTGTAGATGTGTGGAAGCCAGATCTGAGTTTTGAACTATATGTAATGATGCAACATGGATTGGAAATTTTTGTGTGATAACACCAGCAATGCATCTTGGACTTTCAAGTTGTAGAAATATTGAATGAATCGGTAAAAAAAATAGGTGCAGCCCAGCCTAATATATTTAATGCTTTACTTGATTTTTTTCCTGTTTTTTTTTATGATCTCAGACACAACTCAAGTATGCAAGATACTAAACTGAACTGAACCGAGGAGATTAAGTAACATTTCTGCTCAATCGAAAGATCAACTGGGGATTTTTACTTAAAGCAAGTTACTGCATAAATTTATGGGAATTGCATATTGAATTTAAAAAGCAACGACACGATGGTTGAGGGTAAATAAAATAATTGTTTCTCTTTTAGACCACCAGAGGGAAGCAGAGTCTGTTGTTTTTGAGTCTCATACACATCATTGAGAATCGCCGAATAAGAACAAGGCAAAGGCTTATTGGCGGATGTTAGCTAGAAGCTAAGTGTTGAGATTATGTTTGTGTTACTTATTCTTTCGTGGACACGATGAATTTGGCTTGAATTTACTGTTCGTTCAACATCTCGGTAAGAAAAAAAACATCGCATTTGAACATAAAGCAGTTAATTTCCATTCAGTCGGTCCGTGACGTTTTATAATTAAGTAGTAGTTAAATTAGTTAGCTCCCTTAGCATGAGTGTTTACACAGCTGGTCTAGCCAACTGCTAATTGATGATAGCTAACTTTTGGCACTATAAAGTTGAAATTTAAAGTAATTTTAATCAAAGAGGTATTCCTCTCACATTGTTGTTAATGCTGTCCCGCCTTGGCTTTGACTCTGTTGACGTCCACGTTTCTTAGCAACCCATATTATTTAAGATGTATATACCTGTAACTGTGTATGACAGGCCTTAAAACGCAATTAGCAATAAAGGTCGTATGTCGTATTATCAGAACATTATGTTGGCATTGATCAAAATCTTTTCCCTACAGCAGCTGGTCTGACCGGGGTGTCAGTCATGTATCCATCGGGGAAATACAGCTCGCGGGGCCCTGCTTTAATACCACGGATGAAAACCAAGCACCGAATATACTACATCACCCTCTTCTCCGTGGTGCTGCTCGGATTAATTGCCACAGGGATGTTTCAGTTTTGGCCCCACTCTATTGAGTCTACAGCCGACTGGACCCTTGATAAACGCAGCGTCCATGACGCCCCTCTGATCCGGCTGTCCGTGTCCAGCCCCATACCTGAGAGGGGTGACCTCAGCTGTCGCATGCACACTTGTTTTGATGTTTACAGATGCGGATACAATCCCAAGAACAGAATCAAGGTAACCAAACTCGTATCTACTCTCAAAAGCTTTCTGTCAGTCTCTGTGGCACACGTTGAACCGTGATTGAAATGACTGCTTTTGCAGGTATACATTTACCCCCTTCAGAGGTTTGTGGACGAACTGGGAGTCCCTATCAGCAGCACTGGACTGTCACGAGAATACAATGACCTTCTCAGTGCTATCTCTGACAGTGACTTTTACACTGATGACGTCACCAGGGCATGTCTTTTTATTCCATCTATTGATGTGCTGAATCAGAACTCCCTACGGATCAGAGAAACTGCCCAGGCTTTGGCAATGTTACCCAGGTAACCAAATTAGACCCTATTTTTATTAAGTTTTAACGTGTGGTACTTTAACTGGTATGCTATGTCTGGTCATTTTGAAATCTCTCATTTGAAATCTTTTTAATATTTTATTTAATTTTTTTACGTAGGATGGCTTAAATTTTGACATGTACTCCACTCTGATCTGCCATATTAAATCTCTTCTTGGTTTGGAAGACTAGTGTTAGTCAAGTTAACATCCACATCAGCCGAGATCTTAGATTTTTATAACAAAAAAAAGGTAACTTTGGAATTGGGAGATTTCTACAAATGGCCCCTAGATGGCAATAACAGCTACATCCTTACTTCCAAATACCTTTCATATCTTCTAAACAGGTAAACGCCACAATCAGGATTAAACAGAATAAGATGAAAATTTTGTGGTTTTAAAGTTGTAATTGATTTATCTGCTCGACTAGGTTTTTCTTCTTGAAAATCCTTGAATATCAGTTTTGTTTTACTATGTAAACATGAATAGGATTGTCACAGAATTCACTGTGAATTTCATACACATCACTGTGTATCAAATGGTAGTTTCACATTAAATTGAATAAGGTAAAATTTAGCTTCAATTTTTGAAAAGTCAGTAAACATTTTGGCACATTATACTCCTTTTTGTTTTTGTAGATGGGACAAAGGAATGAATCACCTACTTTTCAACATGTTACCTGGAGGTCCTCCTGACTACAACACTGCACTGGATGTACCAAGGGATAGGTAGCCCCAACCCATGATGTCTCTGTCCTTGTGTTTTACGGCTCCCCTATCTAGATGAATGCATATACCCTCTAATTAAGCTTGACCTAATTCATATGTACTAATTTTATTCCAGTTCAGTTTTTCTTTCCTTTTGTCAGCTTCATGTTACAATGTGAATGGGTTTCAGTACAACGTGCTTGTTTGTCACTCAAACTGAGCAAAGCAAACGGTAGACGGACTAAAGTACATAGTTGAACTACATTTGCGTACGACGATTAGCTGCAGTACTCAAATTGCAGTAAATGTTTTCCTATATATGCTGTTTAATTTATTCCTGCTTACTGGTGATATGGCAAGGATGCTGGAAAGCGCTGATCTCAAAAAGCTAGTCTTCTTGAGCGCACAAGGAGCTCTCCTTTTGAAAATGCTAAAGCTGCACCCATGGTTTGCTATATTAAAGATGTCTTAAGTGAAATTAATGAATAATTTAAATTGAGTTAAAACAGCATTGACATGCATTGCAAATGAGACTGCAATTTATATTTTAAATAATAAAAAAGATAAGACGCTTTCAGTCTTTCTTTTTTATATATCTGGCATAATGTCTAATTTTAGCGACAAATGGTCAAAACTGATAAACTTTTTTGTGAATTAAATTATCTACAATACAACAGTAGGGAGCACTTACCAAAGTTCAAAGTGTTATGGTAAATGTCTTTGTAGATGAGATATTAACAAACTTGTTATTCAGATTTTTCAGTCTTTGGGTGGCTTTCAGATTTTGCTGTATTTGCCAACAACCTAAATGTCCATTTTGCTGGAGTGATTGTGTCGGATGGAAGATGCTGGATTTATGAACATGCAGGCCTGAGACGGTCAACACTGTCTCTAGCTTTAAAGAATTTTGTGGGCCTATCCAGCTTGAGTCCATTTGGCTGAGAGCCTCATCAGAACCAGGTGTCTGGAGGGATATGTTTCCACTTTATATTCACCTTGCCTGAAGATAGAACGCAATGCCGAATACATTTCATAACTCACTGCAGTCACATCAGATAAGGTCACTGAGCTTTATTTGATGTTACTACATATTTAACAGCTTTGTTCTTGAAAAAATGTCTACACCAAGCTCTTTTTGTTAGCATTTATTAAATTAATTTTAAAAAATCTGTTTCAGAGCGCTTTTGGCTGGAGGGGGGTTCTCTACATGGACCTACAGACAAGGTTATGATGTCAGCATCCCAGTTTACAGCCCTCTTTCTGCTGATGTTGAACTGCCTGAGAGACAGCCAGGGTGAGTGGATGACACACAAAGTGATACTTCTCTACATTCTTTTTCACTCTTAATGATTGACCTGCAAATAAAGTCAAAGTTAGTGTGACTTGTTTTCACATTTCACATCGTTAACCATCCTCTGCTCAGGTCACGTCGCTACTTTATTTTATCCTCTCAAACCGCCATTCACCGGGAGTACCGTGCCGAATTGGAGCGCTTGAAAGAAGAAAATGGAGAAGCACTGCTCCTTCTGGACAAGTGTAGCAACCTCTCTCAGGGTGCTGCCTCTGCCCGCAAACGGTGCTACAAAGGCCAGGTGTATGACTACCCCCAGATCCTGCAGGTGCGGGTTACTACAGAGTATCACGTTTGAACTTAATGGCTAAATGCGCTTCTTGAAAATTGGACTTTTAGCTGTTTTTTTTGTTTTTTTGTTTTTTAAATATTTCTGAGAATTTTACATAAATATGTAATTTTACTAAGCTTTGTGTACCTGATTAGGAGAATGGATCACTTTGTGGTCAAAATGCAACTGAAGTTCCTAAACCTATAAGTTGTAATTGCTCAAAGCTTATTTGTAGAGTCAGTAAACAAAATCACATGTTGATGATTGACCAAGAAAATACCGTTACAGGAGTCTTCATTCTGCGTGGTCCTGCGTGGGGCACGTTTGGGTCAGGCTGCACTCAGCGATGTGCTGCAGGCCGGTTGTGTCCCTGTTGTCCTAGCAGACTCTTACATTCTGCCATTCTCTGAAGTACTGGACTGGAAAAGGTTTGCCTCAGTCTTCAAAAAGTGAAAACTCAAGTAACTGTTTTGAAATGTGTTCACTTTAACTGGTTTATGTTGATGGTTGTGCTCCTGCACAGGGCGTCTGTGGTTATTCCAGAGGAGAAGCTCTCAGAGATGTACACCATCCTGAAGAGCATCCCTCAAAGACAAGTGGAAGAAATGCAAAGACAGGTAACAGTCACAGCATCTCTCCGCAGGTTTACACTGACCTGCAATTCTGTTCTTAACTGTGGTCATAGCTGCCGTCACTAGTTTCAGAGCTATTGCATGTCTATACTCTATCGTCCCATCTACCCAACCACAGCAAATTCCATGTTTGATATTCAAACTAAAAAGAATTGTTTGTCAAAGAAAAACAACCTTGACTCTGTCTAGATTTTAAAAGGTTCACAGAAGATTCAGCCATGTTTGTTTTAACTTGACTGAAGTGCGTGAAAGACATCTCACTCGCTTTCCATTTGATATCTACCATGAGCCACAATAAACAAAGGTGAAAGCAGCCATGAGAATTGCGCACTAGTTCAGCTGCTCCTCATTCTCTTGTATCAACTCTAGTCCATTTACCAATTATACTGGCTAAACAGACATTTTAGGCCATAAGCCCAGAGATGGGCTTGGATTTCACCAGACAAGGTGATATTTGTGTCTTGCTCATTAGATTGCAGAGTTTGTTGGGGGGGGGTTTACCAATATGGACAGCTCAAAGCTACGTGGTAGCATAAAGCTGATGTTGTTATTCCTCGGCTGCAGTACTCTTAGTGCCCGCTCTTTTGATCTGCAGATGAATCGCTTTTGAGCAGATTTTTATCTGAAGTATGTCCCTGCAGAGGTGATTGACTTTTAAATTAAACTAAAGGTGTATATCTTCTTCCAGGATGTTATTTGAACTGCTGATAAAGGGTCAGCCTTAAAACCCAGAATAACTTTGTTTACTATTGGTCACATTATGGGGGGGGGGATTATTTTTCTTAAAAGCATTTTTGTAAAGCTGATATTCAGAAAATCCAAACTTTGAATGAAGAAAAAATAGTTGTACTTTTTTTACCGTAATCTTTAAAAATATCTATTTAGTTTATTTTAAAGTAAAACTTATTTTAAAAATACTTCTGTTTTAATTAGTATTATCTAAGTGCTATAAAGGTTCATGTAGATTTCTTGTATATTTTTTTCTTGATTTGCATCATTTCTAAAAAATACAAATATTATATTTGCAAGTATTTAAGGGTTGTCTCATGTTATTAATTTTTTACCAATGTCCTTTTATCCCTGTGGTGCACATAACTGATGCAATTTAGTTGAATTAATACAATACAAAAGTATGTGCACAGTTTGGGATTCACCAGAAAGATTTCTACATCGATTTTCTCTTTAGTGCAGTTGAACTTTGTGTTTCATAAGTTAACCAGCAGAGGGCTAAGCAGCCTGTCCTCTCATTGTCTGTCTGTGTTCCCACATCCTTACTGAGCAAATCTCAGAGCAGGAAGGATCTGAAGGATCTAAAAAGAGATCCATACAATAAACAAGCCATGTTTTCTGTCATAAGTTTATAGGAATCTTTGGTCATTATATTTTACGGTTACTTGTTTTTAAAGTCAGTGCTTTGGACATTTAAAAGCTTGTCCACAGAAATGTCATTTTTAAAAATTGAGTGCCTCAGTGGATTGGTTTTGGTTTGGTTTGGTTTGTATTCTAAAACTTTGACAAAGTTTGCAGAAAGTGCTCAAATTAATTTTTATCCATTAGATGTGCTTCTCATATATTAAGTTTTCTCCAATTTCTTTTAAATATTTCAGTTTTTTGTTGACCATAAAACAGACTTTTGTCAAGCACTGAGGGTTCAGTTCATCCGATAGGGGAAAAAACTTTCTTAAGAAACACGTATAGTTCTGATTAACACTAACAAACATTCAACTGGTGTCTTTGCTCAGGTACTAGGACACATTTTCAACAATGTAAAAACATGAATTGATCTCCATTTTGGAGGGGCCATGCACTAATAGCTCGCTAATGTTAACAGTACTAAAAAAAAACCACAAAGCCTTTTTGTACGTGCTTTATTTAGCTTATGTTGTGAAAAAATTAGTCATATACTGCAGCGCTTGTATTTAATTGTCACAACAAAAGGAGCTATTGCCCAAGGAGGATTAGAAGGTTGCCATTGCGCTGTTTGTGATCTGTAAGGGTACGCTGACTTTTTTTAGTCCCCACTATACTCTGCAGAGTTAGGTTTTGATCAGATTCTCAGGTTTCAGATTTTCGGATCTGAATCAGATTGATTCATATTCTCCTCCTCCACCTTTTCCTTCTGACAGTGCATTTTGGTTAGTTAGTACAAAAATAACAGCCTCAAAATTATGTGGAGCTACAACTACAAATCTCTTTGAATTTAAATTCTGTCATCCATGAAATGTCTTCCATCAAAATTAAAATATGGCATCTAAATATGAATGCTGAACAGAAAAGGAGAAATCGGATAAACATGAGGATTCCCAAGCTCCAGGAGTGCGTGATCCATCATGAACCCCACTCCTGAAGCAGGGGTTCTGAACTATGGTCCTCAAGTCCCAAAGCCTTGTTATTTTTTATTTTGGCTGTTCTAATGAAAGGTGATTTACACCAGGTAATAAGTCACCTGTAGATGTGTGCATACTAATAATACTTGTCCTGCAGTATGTGAAATTGTTTTGATCACAGTTAAAGCAAAGTACCAATAAATCTAGAGAATAACGCAGTTCCCAGTGAGAGACGGGGATAACTGAAACAGACGTGGTTTCATTGCTGTTTTTGATTATGTCAAAAACACTAATGAGTGCCTGGTTCTGTTCACAGCTCACTGGCTGCCATTTCTGCTCTATAGGTCTAACCATCTGTCAGGCACTTGACAAATTTCACTCGGTAGTCAACAAAGCAAAGCTGTCTCCTGTCTAATGATCAGCTTCCCTTCATCACTTTGAATATTTATTTTCACACTGCAAATAAGAAAAGAGTTGGAAAGTTGTTTGAGCTTAACACAAAATAGGTGGTTACTTTTTTTTTTTTTTATTCGGAGCATTCCTTTTAGATGATTTTTACTTTTAACTTGAATCATCTGACATTAATACTTAAATTACTGGCACAATTTTTAATTTGTCAAATCAATTTTAGTAAGTTGATGGCTTGGGTTTCTTGCTGTTGGCAAATTTGGTCTGCTTCAATTCTTTCGGAGCAGTGGGACAAACAGCAGAGACGGTAGGCTGCAACTGGATGAGGTAGTGATGGTTCTGCTCTCTTGCAATGATGTCTGTTCTTCTCTGCTCATAAAAATTCCTGAAGGCGCTGGGTGAGGGTTGAGGTGGCTGTATGGGCCCTGGGGCCAGCGCAGTTTTCTTTCTGCCTCCTCCCGGGCGGAAAAGAAACTTTCATCACTGCTTGATTTATAGACCCCTGAGATTAGACAGTCTTTTTAAATTCTCTTCACCCCCTCTGAAAAAATAAATGCCGTTTTGCGCTGAACATCTCCAGCCTTTCGTTCCCTACGTAGACATTAGAGATTTCAGCACTGATGCATTTATTTTAAGCTTTATTCACTTTAAAAAACATTTTGTCCGTGGTGCTTGATTAAAATAACATCGCAGCAAATAAATAACAAGTATTAGTACACATGCCTGCAGTTTTGGAAGAAAAAAAGTAGTGAATTGTGAATGAGGACTCCAGCATTCAGTGTGATAACATTAAGATATGGGTTAAGAGTTCACTCATCGTAAAGTCTGTTATTCAAACAGAGATCTGTTGAAGTAAAACAGAGACAGACAAAAGAGATTTCACAAAGTTTCAGAAGACTTGTTGAAAGACAAGAGGTTGGAGAGGGCTGCGAAATATGCTTTAAAGATGTGCTCTGTGGGGAATATTAGAATTTTACAGTTTAGAGTTTTACAGTTTTTACAGATGACATCACAATGTTTAATCTTCTCTAATAGCTGTACTCTGTAGTGTAGAAAATGAGAAGAGATAAACATTCAACAAGCAATAACACTCAGTGGGACTGCAGGTTTCAGCTAAGGTCTGTGTTGAGTAACAAGACTAAAGACCAAGACAAAGATTATTTTAACAAAATGGCTAGATTTAGTTTCTTAGTCGTTACAGCGAGCAAACGTTTTATGCTGTAGCTGCAGGACTAGGGCTGTTTCGCCCTACTCTGTTGGTTTATGTTAGAAGAAGTTAGGTAAAACCATTTGCTTTTAGAAACACGCAGTGTAATAGAAATACCTTTTTTTCTCCCCCCCAGTCACGCGACTGTGGGGTGTTTGAGAAGTGTCTGTCTGAAAGAATGTAAATGATAAAATATGCTGGTGAATCAACTAGAAAAAAACCTGTGACATCCCAAACTCAAGACTCAAAGAAAAAAAAAAGGTTGACATCTGACACTGTCCATTGGCACTGACAGCACCTGACAGCACTGATGCAATCAGTCCCCTTCTTTCATGCTTTGGCAGCATACACCAGTCTGCACATCATGTGGTAGTGGAACCGCTCCACCAAATATGAACACTGCCAGTCTCCATTTTCCCAGTGCTGAAACCACATCTGATCCTCTCCATTCTGTGCCACCAGACAATGACCCCAGCCTGACTGTAAAGACAAAAAGGTTCAGAAGTACTTCATTTTGGGTTCTACAAATATTGGTAAATGTTATGATGATGGAACAGTTCCTATCTGTATTCATTCAGAGCAAACATGCAGAAAGTGAATGACAGCTGAAAGATAAATTAAGTGCACAGTGGAGTGTTTAGATATTCTTGTTCAAGTTTGTTTACATGTGCATATTTTGATTTGTTATATGTTTATTTTGTCTTTAGGCTCGCTGGTTCTGGGAGGCCTATTTCAGCTCCATGAAGGCTATTGGGCTAACAACGCTTCAGATCATCAATGACAGGATTTACCCATACGCGGCACACACTTATGAGCAGTGGAACAATCCACCTGTGGTGGTATGCAACTCTACACTTCTTGTTGTCACTGTAATGTTTTGCTCTAACATCCTTTGTGCATCTTTCACTTGTGTTCAGCCTTTCTGTCTTTATCCCTCCCTGGACTTTCCCTCTCTAAATACAGCTATATGATGTTTACAGCTTCATGCTCTGCTGTGCAGAACTTTTTATTTGTGTTTTTAGTAGTGCTTTCATTGCAGACATCTGAATGACACAACTTCAGAACAGGGCTTTTGGCATACAGGCGCTCACAGTGCCTCACAAGTATTCCCTCTCTCCTGGGCCTTGTAAATCAAAGACTCTGTAGTAGAGTGACAGAAGTTGTCGCCTCTCTTTCTGAGACACCACACATGCAGCGCTGCACAATTTTAGTGTACACCCATTCGGCACTGAGGCAGCCAGTTTGTGTCAGCAGTTCTGTTCGAGGAGGATGCCTCTGCTGCGGTGAATTAGAAGTTCCTTTATGTCTTAGTCATTGTGTTTGTAGAGTAATCTGGAAATGAAGAATAGTTTGTCTGTTTTCAGGTTTGTGGGAGTTTGTGGCTGCAGACTTGTTGGCTGGGAGACCATCTCCCAGGAGTTGTTAATCAACACGGTTTAAAGATCAGACTCCTCCGAGCTCTGTCTGTGGGATCGAGGCATGCACATGTCATTACGTGTGTCGATGCATAATAATACCTTTGAGTCATTCAGACATCTACACGTAATTCTGTAGATTAAATACAAAGGTGGCAGAAACCATGAAGATGAGCAGGCATAACGAAACAGTAATCTGAGGGGCGCTTTTTTATTTGAGTAGTGCTTAAATCTGGTGAAACAACAGTTTCTCCAGGCAGGTAGCCTATCTTCAGCAGTCACACTTGACATTGACCACATGAATGCTCTGCATCTCATCTCCTGCCCAATCTGTCAGCTTTACCTTTGGCTTAACGTTTGGCCAAATTCAGTAGAGGTTAATGTGTCTGGGCAGAGACCTTTGGCCATTCCTGCCTGAGATGGGACACAAAGTGTTTTCCCGATGGATTCGGTAACTGGATGGTGAGAAGAACTTGCACACAGCACTAAATAAATCAGTCAGACATTTTTCTGCCTCTCCTCCTAAAGCCTTAAGGGTGGTAATTGAAAGCACATTGCCCGGGACTGCGGGTGCCTTTGGAGAGAGGGGGGTTTCAGAATGAGGGACAGGCTGCTTTTTGTTTGCGATTTGTAGGTAGGGGGTGTACTTGCAAGGTTTTTACATTTCATGAACAGACACATCGTAGACTTTCAAACTTGCCAGAAGTGAAACTTTCTTTTTAGAAGTTTAGACTTTGGCATATGCTAGTCATTTGATCACAGTCTTATTTTAAAGCTACAGCACATTGAATTTTTCTGCTAAGAAGTTGGCAGTTTTCCTCTTAGTTTAGCATTTAAAGTTACATTTATCAAAAGTAATTCCTCATAACTTAAAAGTTTTGTGCTCTGTGCTGATTATCCAGGCAGTACTTAAGTAGCTGCATTGTTTGCATATTTCACCTATATGTTAAAAAGAAGCATTGATTCTTCTCTTGTCTCCTCTCATAGTACTTGTGTGGTAATATTTGAGGCTTAATGTGAAGTGATCATACCTACGTTTACATGCTTACCTGTGTACATGCTGTTCAAGTGGAATGTTTCCTCTGAGAAAAAGTATTGTACAGCTGAGTTCTTTTTATATAAGCTTTAATTTGGGATCTTTATTCATCTGATGCATCCTTGTGAAGGTCTAAGATGAGTAAGGAATAAACCAAGCATTTCAAATAAATTCTCTCTTTTGTGCAGTTTAAGAACAAAAAAAAGACAGTTTCTCTTTCAAATCTGTTGTATGGTGACGTGTTGAGCTGTGGCTTTCTTTTCATCTAACTTCATTCATTTTGACAAATGACTTAAGTGGTCTCAGCATGTTCTAGTCTATTTTTATGCATCTGTGCTGCATATATGTGTTACTTTAATGATTTCCCCCTCTTTTTGTATGACAATGTGACAACGACCACAGGGAAGTTTCCACTTGCCAGTAAAGTAAATTTTTATTGGTGGTTGAGTGACTGATGTTGTGTAAAAAGCAGTGGCTGTGTCTCTGTTGACAGACGTGTGTTGATGCTGTGGAAGGAGCCACATAATCACTCTGCGGCCACCTGGGACCAGAGGAGAAGCGGGGTTTATATGTACTTCAAGAAGCCCCCAGATTTATTGTTTTAGATCTGCTCTCTTTGCCCTTCTCCCACTGATTATCCCAGGAGTGTGGAACAGTTTTACAGCCTTTGATGAGGGCTCAAAGAGTAGACTCTAATGCTCTTATATTTGCCAACATTACTGTAGTCTAAAGTTGTAAGAAAAAGATTCTGGTCTTTTTTTTTTAAACAACAGTCCTTGTAGAGTTGTTGTTTTGGATAACATAAGAATTTACAGGCAATTTTAAAGGAGAGCTATGCAAGAAGAGCCAAGTCCCACACTGATGATAGATGGCTGCTGGTTAGAGCCTAGTGATCCTCTCTTTTACTGTTTCTATATTTCTTTCACCCTCACATCTACTGAATTTTTTCTGCTGCCCACTTGATTTTGTCACAATGGCATCACAGGAACAGCTCTATCAGAGGGCGACCTAAAATGACTTGTTTTCAAACTGTTGTTATTGTCATTGTTGGGTTGCTCTACGTTACCTTTGCATGTTGGGTTCAACAAAAAAAAAGTATATGGGGAAGAAAAGATGTTTCTGGCTTCAACATGTTGTGTTCTTTCTTTTTTTTTTGTCCCATGTAGAAGTGGTCCAGTGTGAACAGCCCCTTGTTTTTGCCACTTATCCCACCAAGGGCTCCGGGTTTCACAGCAGTGGTGCTGACCTACGATCGCGTTGAGAGTCTTTTCCGGGTCATCACAGAAATCTCTAAAGTACCAAGCTTGGCTAAGCTTTTAGTGGTGTGGAATAACCAAAACAAGAGTCCTCCTGAAGGTGAGTGGACCTGCTACTCATCCAAATGACTTTGGTCATGAACACGATAATTTATTGATAACTTACTTGATTGAAATACATGTTTTTTTTTACGCTTTAGGAAAAAAGTGATGATGAATAAATACGCAATAAGCATCACCTCAGACAACATTATTAGGCCTGATATGATTTTTCCTTTTTCTTAGTTTTAACCTAAACTAAGATGAAGTCTAAACTTTAAATGAACTCATTTGATCTGATGTACTTCTGACTTATCCAGCTGTCATCTACAGCATGGGACCTCATCTCTCTGTTGGGTTATCTAACACTGAGTGTTTAGGGATTATATTGTTTGTACCCACAAATAGGTCTCCAGGTTTCTACCCATGACAGCAGTGTAATAAATAATGCCTAACCACAATGGTCAGTCCAGTGCAGCTTGGTAAAGTGCAAATCACTGTGTTGTACATCCTCCCACTATTTAAGTGTTGTTTTTTTTATTAGTTTGTTTCTCCAAAAGATGAATTGATAATTAATTCTATCCAGCAGTTACTGTAATGAGGCGAAGAGATTACTTTGAAGCGCTACCTGTGGCTGTGAGTTGTTTTCCATTAAAGGCGTCAGCGGCGCCTGGCTGGAGCTTCGTGTCCCATTAGAATTAACAAGAGGCCATTGACAGTTCAGACTTCTGGAGTCAGGCCAGTATGCAGGCTGTATTCTTCCATAGCAACAGCAGAATGCGATGTCATGTGTTTACAGTCCCCTTTTTTGGCTCCAACGTCAGGTTTTTACAGATGAGGACTCTAATAGTGTTTTTGAATATGTTGGAACAAAATTTTCCTTTGTTGGTGAGGTCGCTACTGCAGGGTGTTCATCATCTTGTCCAAAACGCGTGATATCTGCACAGCAGCCGAAATGACCTTCCAAATCTGCCATAATTGCAGAAGGCACAAATCAAAACTAAAGCCAGTTTTTGAAAACATGGAATTTTGCTAAGTAGGTCGTAAACACAGTGAAAGTCACAAGCCACAATAATTATTTACCGTGTATATTTTGATCCATTCCACACCAGGGCTTACATTTTCAATTTCATATAATAGCCCATAATTCCCATCACTTTAACTGTCTCTTTCCAATCCTTGAACTTAAAGAAAGAATGACAGCAACATGGAGCGAGTGAAAGAAGAAACTCTTGGCATCTAACGCGGCAGTTTTCCCGACAATAGCTTTTGACAGGCGACCTTAGACGTGGTTAGGAGGACCTGGAGTTCCTCTCATGAGCTGCCAGGCCCCAGTCACTCCATTAATGAGGGGACACTTTCTGTGTGATCTGTCTTGCCATAGTCCGTGCCATGGACACTACCCAAGATCTTTGAAATGCTCAACCGAACAAAACACTCTGGTGATCTGCCCCATGAAGAATCGCAGTGTGGTTAGTTTTGCACGTGCTTGAGGTTAGTCGAACAATGACTCAGTGAGTGAAGTTAAACTCCCAAAGCGCTGCTTTTCACTGCAAGTGAGGATTTAGGAAATCTTTGTTGGTGATACCCAGTAATTCCACACTCTTTATCAGACGCTGACATGTTTGGTTTTAAAGCATGGGGTTTTGTATACCGTAGAGGCCGCTTGCCTTTTCATTTGTCTAATAAATAAGAGACAGAAAGGAACATTATTTTCTTCTTCCTTTCTTTTTGCAGAGTCTCTTTGGCCAAAGGTCGGCGTCCCCTTAAAAGTAGTGCGAACCAAAGAGAACAAACTGAGTAACCGTTTCTTCCCCTACGATGAGATCGAGACAGAAGCTGTTCTGGCCATCGACGATGACATCATCATGCTGACATCTGATGAGCTGCAGTTTGGCTATGAGGTGAGACATGTGCTCTCTTTAAAAAATGATAATGACTTAGCTTTGATCATGTCAGTTTTTTCTTTTTTATCTAAACCTCTTTAAGTTGATCCCAGAGTTTAAAGTCACTCATGGATATTATGTTCTCCTCTGCACCATTTGGAGATTTGACAGCTTGCTGAACGTGTTTGATGTGGGAAGAAGGATGACGGGTCTGCTACTGATGCTTTCCATGCCCACATACCTGTCTGTTCATGCATGCTCACCTGAATCCATTTAAAACCCATTTGATAAAATTATGTTCAGTTTAAGGGTAATTACATGGAATTACAGGCAGTATAGAGGAGTTCCCTCATTGGTGGATTTGCTCACTGCTTCAGTGAAACAGTGCTGGTGCTAAGCCTCTTGAGGTATTTGACCAGTTAGGAATCTTTTTTTTTTTTTCTTGTTCTTTTTTTTTTGGGCGTCTGAAAATGTTTTCTTTTATGCCTTCTTTTCCGGGTGGTTTTGTTCTTGGTTCCAAGATAGAAAAGCAGAGGCTGACAGATGGTAGTTTAACTGAATGTGTCAGACAGTCAGTCTCTTGTCCTGCTGTTTCCTCCAGGTGTGGAGGGAGTTCCCTGACAGGCTGGTGGGCTACCCAGGCCGGCTGCACCTCTGGGACCATGAAATGGGGAAGTGGAAGTATGAGTCAGAGTGGACCAATGAGGTTTCAATGGTTCTAACTGGAGCTGCTTTCTACCACAAGGCAAGGACATGGCGTATTTTAATTTCTCTGACTTTTAAACAGGTTTTTCTTAAACTGTCACATGGCTTAGCAATGTATAGAACTTATTTTGAAGACAAATTGGGATTCATCAGTTTGTCTGTCCTCAATGCAATGCTGAAGTATTGAAGGTTGTACATCTCTTTCTCTTCCAGTACTTCAACTATTTGTACACCTACAAAATGCCTGGAGACATCAAGAACTGGGTTGATGCGCACATGAACTGTGAAGATATTGCAATGAACTTCCTTGTGGCTAATATCACAGGCAAAGCCCCCATAAAGGTACATTTGTTGGCCCTCACTGCTTATTTTTTTAAACTTGTAGGGTGAGGCTCTGGGTCTGGTCAGCTCTCACCCGCCAGCATCACTGCCTCGCCCCCTCCTTGTCACACTGACTTTGCCCAGGTGCAGAACCATGAGCTTAAGCCTGACCTTAACCTCCCTTATCTGAGTATCACTCACACACACACGCACGCACACACACACACACACACACACACACAACGTCTGCACACATGTATGTTTTGTTAAGGTCACCACAGCATATGCGTTCCCTTTTTTCAAGTAACCAAGTTTTCAAGGATCCATTCCTCCATACACCTGCACCTCTGGCCCCATTCATAGGACACTTCTTATTTTTTACCATTCCCCACATTTTCACTCTTCCTTTGTTTCTTTTTAAACATGTTCCAAGTATTGGGCCCAGTAGTGCGCAGTGTTAACTCATCAGAACATCAGCTTCCGTCTGAGCAGCTGAGATTTAACAAATCATTGGAGTGAGTTGACGTCTGTGGTGTGACTTTGCTCTGTTTCCTTTTAGGTGACCCCAAGGAAAAAGTTCAAGTGTCCTGAATGTACTGCCATTGATGGGCTGTCACTAGATCAGACACACATGGTAGAGAGGTATGTAAGTTTGTTTTAGAAACACAAAGTTTTGAGCACAGTAGAATGATTGTGCGTGTTTATGCATTTATGACTTCCCCTCCGCTTTTCTGTTGTTTACATTGTTTAGAGTGCCAGGAAAATATTTTGGGGTCTTATTTTTGTATTTGATTTTCTGAAATGTTTATTATGTGATTATATTTAATGTTTAATCTTTTTTTTAAAAATTGTTTTTAAGACCTTCTAATTTAAGGCTTTATTTTTAATCCGTTTTTAGGTCTGAGTGCATCAACAAATTTGCTTCAGTGTTCGGGACGATGCCTCTGAAGGTGGTAGAGCACCGTGCGGACCCAGTGCTCTACAAAGACGACTTTCCAGAGAAGCTCAAGAGCTTTCCCAACATCGGCAGCCTGTGACACATCTCTACGCCTTTAGACACTCCAAGACTGGTCACCAACATTTTCTTTCATGCCAGGTTGCCAGTATTAGTCCGATAATGGTTCCTGGTTCATCTCAGTTCAGGAGAACTCATTTTTTATATCTTCTTTCAAAATGCAGAGTTGTCCAGACAGTTCTAGTCTCACTGTGGTCAGTATAAGCGTCCTGTGTGATGAGGGCAAAAGGGTTGTTGTTGGGCATTTATCAGCATCAATGTTACACAAAGTCTGATGTTTGATGGATAGATTGACTGATTTGTCCCCTGCTGTTACTGTCTTGGATCTGGACACTCAGGCCTCCAGTTGCTCTGGAAATAAAGACGGTGTACATAATTGTACTGTGCAGAATTGCTGGACAGTGGTAGTAATTTATGATCCCCAAACAAAGATTTTCTTTTATTATTTTTCTCCTGGAACACTGACATTAACTTCTAGTAGTTGTACTATATGATAAGAAAGAAAGTATTAAATAGATTGTAAATTATGGTGACATATGTGCGTAGGCTTTATTTGTGGGCTGATTGATTGAGATGACACACAGACGTCAAGTAAATGTTTCGTAATGCACTCTAACACAATCAGTAGACCATTACATAAAGCTGGTACCATAAATATAATATCTGGAGAGTCTGCTAATTTCTTTTTTTTTAAGTAAGTCAGAGCTACTTTTTTAAATATAATTTTTTACTGTCTGAGTAAGCCTTTTGTTGTATATATTTATAGCTATAAATACATGTATATGAAAAGCAATGATTGAAGCATCTGCTAAGTCATTTCAGTTGCATCAGTAAGTGTTTGTTAAAAAATACTTACGCCTTACATATGACCACATACTGTATTTGTGAAAATTTGATATTGTAAAAAATTCACATGTGAACTTTTTTCTTTTCTATGTTCCCATTTGACTCTTTTCACATTTTGTGCTTTTCATTGCTGCATCTCATCTCCAGTATTTTAACTGTAACCCTCCCTTTTGGTGTTTTCATTTTCATTTTTTAATGTTTCATCAATGTTATTGGAATTGATCTACTTTTTTTAAAGCAAATTTATGCATTGATTATCTATGTGTGTGCCTGTGTGTATATATACATATGTATATATATATATACATACACATATTATGTTATAATACAAAGGTTCCGACTACAGTAACATGTCTCAGAGTTCTAATGTTTTCCATCCATGCAAAAAGGGAAGAAGATGAAGAAAGACATTTTCCTTTTTCATGTCTGAATTTAGTTTAATCTTTGGCCGTCTGTAGCGAGACCTACCATGACATGGCCGATCCACTGTTCCCCGCCTGTCACCTGTTGTTAATATATGCTGCCTAATCCACTCTGTTCTATGTCAGCAGTTCAAAAGGGTGCAGTTCGTATTTTTGTCAGCCTCAATTAGTGTGATACTCCGGCGGGTCGTGAGATCTCATTTCAGTGCTTGTGTCCCTTCAAAGGGACTGAAATGTGTGGGGATTTCAGAATGGGACTGTGGGGGTGACACAATATTTTTGGCAGGCCGGTACAAGGCAACAAGACGGAGCAAATCTATGAAGTTAACATACTTTGACAACTTCTTTGTGGTGGCCAACCAGAATCATCTGATATTTTCAAATGCTCCTTTTGATTCGAATAGTGATGACTAATTTATTTTAAACAAATAGGAAAATAGTTGCTTTGGTTCTGTCACTTGGTGTGTGGCAAAAGTTTTGTGTGGTGCTTTGGAGAGCAGCTATCAAGCTAACAATTTTCTGGGTTTACATGACATCGCTTACATACTTTGACCTCATTTGGTCCCGACCTTCCCCATTGCGCAGGTAATATTCCCCTTCTCTTTTGGAAATCAACAGTTTCTTTCATCTCACCGTGCAATAAGAGCAGTTTTGGTCCAAATTCTTAGCAGTCAACAATTTTTGCTGCTTCCACTCCAACAATATTGGATAACACACAAAACCCAAGTGCAATAACTTACTGAACTTTAATCACACAAAACAACACAAGCGTGAGCAGTTTACACTCTAATTTCAAAAGGCAGCTTAAAGCCACACAGACATGGAGAACTTAGTAGATCTGCATATGGAGCCACAAAAAAAAAAGCAAAAAACATATGTTCCAGCACATCACCGGAAATAAAATTGTCACCAAATTTACGAAAGTGATACACTCAAATACTGGATAAACTGAGTCAGAAATTAAACAGCATCAAATTAGTACAAATTTCAAAGAGCTCTATGACACTTCATTCTGCATGCACAATGCACATACACACAACAGCACTCTTTTATCATATATCTACTCCTTTACTGATTGCTTAACTTCAGTAGTATTAGAAAATGGGAAAAGCGGACAGTGATGTCCTTCAGGGCACACAGGAGGAAGCCTTTTTTTTTTTTTTTCCGACATGAAGCTGGCTTGCTTTTTAAGAATGATAAAGCAAAGAGGGTGCACACGAGGTGAACTTGAGTGGGACAAAGAAACGGCCAGTCTGTATTCTGTAAACCTGAGCAACTCAGAAAAAACCACGCAGAAAAACAGACGCTCCATCCTGACACACAATACTGCGGTCCGCAGCTTCCACATGGCTCAGCGTTAATTGAAAAGCCTTCTCGGGCCGGCTGTGCCTGGGAGCCTGCAGCTGGGGGGCAGCAGCTTTGGACCAGTGGACACGGTGGAAGTGAGCAAAGGGAGAGGCCTGGTGCAATGTGAGTGATCGGGGGGTGAATCTTTGAAAGCGGAGCCATGACAGCTGAGGGGGAAGCATGTGTGAGGCATGTTTGTTTTGCATTTACCCCCTGAGCGCAGCTGTGTGCACTGTCCTTTTCCCAGAACACCGGAACACAACAGACGCCCTCACAGCTCGCCCTCAGTCCAACCCCTCAGCTAGAGCACAGGGGGCCCCATGTTCACATCTGAAACCATACTGCCTGAGCTCCGAAATCTGCTCTCTGAGCGTGCACATGTCCTGGACAGGATAGAGGATGTAATATGGATGACTTCAGGGTGATCAGCTCTGTTGACAGGTTATAGCCTGCACTTTGACTCTCTGGCCTACTCAAAAATGAAATTAGGTTTGACTGCTATGCTTCAAGGTGTTCTACAAAGTATCAGGTTGGCTCTCAGAAACCATAAAAGCCTCTGTTATGCTTTAGGCCTAAATCAGTCTTTGCAAATAAATGAAGGCATAACCCTCTGATTCTGTGCAGGAAAGCCTGATATGCTAGCTCTGCCAAAAGACAGATGTGCTGCCAGGGAAATAAATGTTTACTACCACAGCTTATGAATGGTTTTTATCTCTTTCTGCAGTGGTCTATGGAAGAATAAAACAAAACAGAGCAAAGAAGATGGAAACAACTGTTTAAACAGCCAGCAATGAGTCCTGATCAAAGTCCCATTAAACGTGTTTGGAGAAAAGTTAAATCTGCTTAACGGATTCCTGCAAACTCTGAGAAACCTGAACATGGCAGTGTGGTAAAAACTACCCACAATTGAGAGTGAGAGGCCTCTAGATTACTGCATGATATATTACGGACTATCATTGTTGCCAATAGCTCAACAACCACTATCTCACTCTACTGAAGATAAGTTTTGTAGTTGCTGTCCAACCGATTAATGCCTCCCAAAATATGCTTATCTTACTGAATGGGTTTATTTAAATCTATTTGAATGTCTGACATTTTTCTAGGTTCTGTGCTTGAGTCGCATGCCCCAGTCGCATGTCAGGCTGTTATTACACCACTCTCAGGAGCACTGTAATGTGTTGGTTGACTAACTATTTCTTCCTGAGACAGCTAACACAGATGTGTGAATATACCTGGTCTCAGGTTACCTGTAGGTCAGTGTCCTGTTTAAACAGATACGGTTTTGTGATTCGATTTTGACCCTTGGTAATCTGAGCTATGTGTCAGTTAACCACCTGGCAGCAGAGATATGTTACATGTAACAGAGGCGAGTTTTTAAAAGATTTTTCCGTTGGGTAAAAATCTGGTGTGTAAGGATGGAGCTCGTGGCATTAAACTGTTGAATTGTGGTAAGAGATGAGAAACTGAAGTAATGTTAATGTCGCTGGTGCTTAACAACTGGACGGCTTCAACAGCCAACCTTGTTTAAGTCGGGAAAAAGGCTGTTGAACACTGACATCCTTTCAATGCTCGTAAGTGTCAACACACTCTGTGTAACACCAACCAGCCCTCACTGTTTCAAAGGAGGCTTCTGCTGGTTCCCGTGTTATTGCTGGCAGTCGAACCGACCGGTGGGCACGTCTTTCTCTGAAGCCTGTTAGAAATGCACGGGGCCCGCAGTTGTGTCTGCTTGGATACTGTCCTCCTAAAAAAAAACAGAGCTGGGTCTGTTTGGAGACTGGTGCTCCCGGGCTGTCCGGCTCAGAGAGCAGCAGGCCCGCTGGGCGCCTCTCACACTTCCTCCTCCGTGCCTTCCTCTCTCTGGGCACCGGCAGACTGACTCGGTGCGGCAGGTGGATCTCTCTCGCCCCCGACCGCACCTAAGCAAACTGCATTTCATCTACTTGACTTTTAAATGAAAGAACAGTTTTGATTTGCTGAAACTTGCACCCGGAGTCGGTTGTTTTAACACTTGCGTTGAAGGTGAGAAGCCTCGTAGTGCGGTAGATGTACTGGATGGTTTTCTGAAGCTTTTTTCGTGCACACCGGCATAATTTAAGGTAATCCTGAAAAAGAGTCCTGTAGAATAACACGTTTGTGGCATAAAACAACTGAGTCTGAATTTCAGTATTTTAAGTATGCATGCTGAGCTATTTGTAAGTTCAAAACCGCTGACAACCACTGAATGAAGAGAAAAAATATCAATAACACATCAGTTTTAAATAACAAAGTCAGAATAAAACAGCACCAAACTAAAAGCGCTGACCTCTGAAAGCACTGTACAAACGTAGGTCGCTGTAGTTGAGCAAATAAGTGCATGGTTTTGATTGAAACACCTAAAGTTTTCTTTCTTCGCCTATCTTCAGCACTACACAGCAAATCCCGCTATACAATACAGCATCACCCCCCCCAGCCTTAAACACCGAGTGCTTTTTTTTTTCTCCCTGCAAAGGCGCACAAAATGGCATCACTGACTTTGCCAAATCTTTTTCTTTCTCATTCCAACTTTTTTTTCTTTTTTTTGTTGAAGGTAGTCACTATTGTCTACAGGGGTTTGGATTTTAGTGCCCCCCTCGCTCCATGCTTGTTTTTTTTTGTAGACATCTTAGAGGTCCTCCATCCAGGAAGTATCCGCAAAATCATGTGGCCCATGATATGGCTGCGCTGTGCTCTTTGGCTTTCATGCGCAGTGCAGCGATGCTGGAGGACTTGCGGTCGGGGTCCATGTTGAGATCGTATGTGTTGATACCTGCGGCCATGCCGGGGGAGCCTCCAAACAGGCTGCCCATGTGAGGCTGTCCTACGTGGCCCCCGGGGCTCGGGACGCCCAAGAAATCAGACATCCCGCTAGCAGAGTGAGGGTGAGGTGTCATACAGGGAGTCACAGTGTCACAGGGCACGACGCAGCCCGGAACGGGAGAGGCTGCACTGGTGCCACCGATCCAGGAGGGGTTCTGAATCTGGAAGGGTTTGTGAACAGATGAAGAGATAAGTCACGTCCTGAACACCACCGGTCAGGTTAAAGCCTGTTTCTGCTTTCTCCCTTTTCTCCTCTTTAAGGATCATGCAATCAAGGTAATGTAAAAATATTTGATAATAAGTTGCCTGATGGTGTATAATAGTGAAACAATATAAGCTGCTAACTTGGCTTTTAAAGATACTTGGTTTTTGGTTTATCATACTTTAAAAGAAAAAGTATATAAAACACACCTGTCTTAAGGAACAATTTAAAGTTATGTTTCAATGAACTGTGTTTATCACATCACCAATTTTAAAAGAAAGATTTTGCACTGACATTGTAGAGTGGCAATCGACTTTTACATAGAACTGTGAATCTAAAATGATTTTATCTGTACAGAAAAAACAACAACAACAACAAAAAGTGTAAAACCATAACCAGTTGTGACCCATTTTAATCAGTTAACTGGATGCTATTAAGTGTGATTGGGTAATACATTTGTTTTATATATTTCTAAGATTATAAATAATTCATATATTAGTTCATTTAATAATATGAATGCAAAACATAAATAATGTAAATCAACCATTCCTCTGACCCTAAACTCTTAGGTCGCCTGAATTAGTCCTAACCAGAAGCTGATGTAAAGTCTGATGTGCGTGGGAGAACATTTAGTAAGGCATGAGTTGATTATTTGCCGTCGTAAAGAGGAGTATATTGTGTGTTTTAGGCTATCAGCAGACATTTATCTTACTGGCCGAGAATAAACAATCCTTAAAAACAGCAGAAAAAACAGGGTCTTACGGTCAAATATCTAAAAAACTTTTAACTGATGATGGAATGGACACTTTTTGTGCCTAATTTCTGTGTCAACAGGTGTTGATTCTTTACCTGTGCATAGTTCTCCGGCCGCGTTAGAAGAGGCAGCTCATAGGCAGATGTGAAATGTGTTCGGACCTGCTGCATCTGGCCAAAACGCTCCCTCTTTCTCCATTTTGCTCGTCGGTTCTGGAACCAAACCTGCAAAATGAAGAATACAGAGTCCTGTAAAACGGCCAGTAATGACTGATATTCTATCTGCCAGAGCAAGGCAGCGTTCATCGTTTCATCCAGAACAGCGTCTGTGGTCAAGGTTAAGATGAAACACAAGTGAGCTGGTTCCCAGAGTCCTTTCTTTTCTGCAATCTAAAGGAAAGGCTCATCTATAGATGCAAATCAAAGCTTTTTCCTCGTCTGAAATAATAACGCCACGCGGTGCTGCTAAAAGAAAATATTTAAGTCACAAAATATTCATACTTGTGAACCCGCATTACAGTAAAGTGCGGTTCAGAGGGAGCAGAAGTATAATAATAATAATACATTTTATTTTTTTTAAAGCGCCTTTCATGCCACTCTAGGACACTTTACAAGAACAATCATCATTAAAACAACATTGAAACATAAGAAAACATACAAAGTCATAAATACATCATAAATTAAAACATCAGAAATGAATGAAATAAAAATGGAATGAATCAAACTGTGCAGAATGAGGGGAATGTTAGAGTTAGGGTTCGTAAGGTGGGTAGGATGTGTGAGAGGATAAAACATTGCAAATTAGACAAACAAATAGGAGGGGGATGCAGTTTATAAACAGCGTACCGCAGACTTCCTTTTACATCAGGCAGACAGAAAAATGTAAATACAATCTGCCATCTCACCTTTGTTTATTTTGTGTCTGTCCAGGGTAGGTTCTTTTATATTTTCTCTAATCATCTTTGACATCCAAATCTGACTGCAATGTTTACTGAAAGCGTTAGAATGTTTGATTTACCATCACAGCATGTGATATATATACATTTCCTTCTGGTAAGCTCAACATTTCATCTGCGATGTTTGTTGTCAAAACTCTCGGTGGAAATTTCACAATTTGTATGATAACTCTTGACTATCCTGTTTCAACCACCAAACCTGGAGAGATCTGAGTGAAATTTATGAAGGAAAACTTTTCTCCCTCTGACTTGGTTCTGATACGATGCGTCCGCTCTTTGCCCAAATGCTTTACTAAAGGAGCAATGGGGGAAATTAAAAAGTGAGATGGGATTATAAAGGAGGTTTGTTTGCGTTTTCCTTTTAATTTCCTGAAGCCTAAAACTTCTGGCCGTGTGTCTCCCTCTAAATTAAAGAAGCATACAGACCGGGGGACATAATCCTTCTTTCCTTGATGTTTTCATACATTTTCCTTTGCACTCAGGGTCCACAACACCACGCAAGGCTCTCTGACCAAGGTTGCTTTAGGATTCTAATGGTTGTGATCATTGTACATTAAAAGGCGTTCCTCAACTGCTTGGCCAGCAGCACAGTCTGTTGACCATTATACAAGGAGAACATAATTTTGCATTGCGCACACTGTGTTGTGACAGTAATTGGTAAAGACCTTGACAGCTTAAGTAGCTGGTAGACTTTCAATGAGGCTTTATTTATGTTACAGCCCCAGAGAGAAAGAGCAGAGAAATGCCAAACTGGCCCCAGCAGGAGAGCTGTATGGGGCCGAAAAACACTTTGAAGTGAGAGTGCGGCTCAGAGGATTGATAACCCACCTCTGCTGTCACTCACTTCAGACTCCAAACCCAAGATGAAATCCAAGGCCGGGCCCGGCTTCAGTTTTCCAGTGCCCTCAAAGCCTTAATAGTACAACTGAAACACTTCCAGCATCTGTTATTCTTCACGACGTTGAAGATGATTCTATTTTTATCCAGAATCCCTCACCACCTAATTTCATATTTCCCATATTATTTCAAGATAAGTGGAGGACTGACACAAAACAAAAGGCTCAGAGAGAATGTGCGAGCCTTAAACTTTTCCTGTAGCACTACAGAACCGATTTAGTTGTTTCTTTCTAAAGCACTATAACATAATATCTTGTGATGTCTCCTATGAATGAAGCTTTGTTTAGAATCATTCATAGTTCAGATCTCATATCTGACCCATTCTCAACTGACCGTCATTACGTAAGTCCTTGGCTAAAATGATATCATGGATGTTCAACCAGGGTAAAAGTAGAATATAACTTTCTGAAAGTGCAGATCTTTGTCGTGTGTCTGAGCATTCTTGTAAATCAGCTCCACCATCCTGTGCCTCTCAACCAGTCAGATCTTCTCGTCTTTCCTTTCTTGGTTAGTAGTAACACCTGTGTTTCTCCGCTGAACTCCACATCAGATGCCACCTTGGCTCTCTGTGGACTATCGGAAAAGAAAATCTCAGAGATGTGATGCTACTGCAACCCTTGACCCCTGACCTCTGACCTTCCTATGTAGTGTATATGACTCAGATCTGAACTCACCCTCTCCCTTTGAAACCCTGAGACTGAAAAAGCAAACAGCCCTGGTCCCTGACGCTAGACTAAAAGTCCAGTTTTTTTTTTGGTGTTTTTCTTGCGTATTTGTGTGTGTGTGTGTGTGTGTGTGCGCGCTTGTGTGTGAACCATCCGGCCGTGAGGTTACTCTGAGTTTTAGCAAGTACGTTTTCAGTCGGGCTTTTCATTAGCAGTATCTCCTCTTTCTTAACATTTTTCCACCCCAGATGTTGATCTGATGAGCTGTGAGTTCATCCTTTTTGCGTGTGAATGACCTGAATAAAAAGCCGAAAAACTGTTCTCTGACTGACAAGGCATCTTGTGTCTTTTATCTTTTTAACTTGAGTGTTTAAGAGGGCCGCTGGGAGAGCTGACGGCTGTAAAGCTGCATCCATGTGAAGCAGGCAGGCAGGTCTGTGATAGCGCTAGCAGCAGAGCGGCATACCTTCAGAGACTCTGGGTTGAGTTATAACCCTGTGGCTGCACAGACTTCCTGTCTTGCAGGCTCACTCCTCCAGCTCGTCATGTTTAAGACTGGTTTTAACTGAGCTCTTTTCCTATTCCATCCGCACCACTGACACACTTCAGAAATCCAGCCAGGATATTGAATCGTGGCGTGCTGTTTTTTTGTAAAAGCTCGGAGACATTTGCTCTGAAATAAACCTGAACGTTAGTCACCAAGTCAAATCAAAACCCATGGGAAAGGTTTCACACCTACCCCTGAGACCACAGCAGGGACACATTCTTGTCTGAACAGGATGTTAATGAAAGAAAAACACGGAAAATCCCAGGGCTTTAGATGTCATCCACATCCAGCATGGGGATATTGTACAGAAATCGTGGAGGTCTCTTTCTCTGCCCACTGGTGCATTTACAGCCGTCATGGCCAGTTTGTGACCAGGACGACACTGACTGATACAAACTCCCAGATTCAGGGAAATAAACTGTTAAAGTGCAAAGGGAAAAGCCACCAGGATGATCCTGGGGAGAAAAAAAACGCAGCAGTCACATGTTTGTAAAAAAGTCTGCTCTGCCGAAACTGCACATATGAGGCCCAGGCAGCTCAAACCTCAGCCCCCTGGGCCCCCCTGGCCTCTGCTCCTTCCCACTCCCCCACTCTCTCCCGCGACTCCCACATTACCAGATAAATCTCTCGTGTTGTTCTGTGAGTGTCGTTATCTCTGCAGAGCTGCAGATGCCGAAGGACCCACAACTGTGTGTTGTTTTTCTGTGATGGAGAGCTTTTTGCACACGTCCATAGCACAGGGTCGTAACGGCATCCTTTTGCCTTGTGCTACACCTCTGTAGGTTATAAATAAGTGCTGACAGAGCGTGGTGAGAATGCGTTTGCCGTCTCGCTTTACCTGCACACGCGCTTCTGTCAGGTCGGTCCTGAGGGCCAGCTGCTCCCGGGCGTACACGTCTGGATAGTGCGTCTTCTGGAAAACCTTCTCCAGCTCTTCCAGCTGGTAGCTCGTGAAGGTGGTGCGATTGCGCCTCTTCTTGCCTTTGTTGCTCTCACCGGCGTCGGTTTTGTCCAGCGGGCTCCCTAAGTCTGTGCCCGGCGGCCTGTCTGAGGCCGCCTTGACGCTTTGATCCTTCATGGTCAGGTATCTGGTGTCCATCCCAGGTTGGTCCGAGTCCGGCGCCAAATCAGAGTCTGTCAGACCTGAACCGTCTTTACCTGCGCAGGCAGAAAGAATAAGAAAATTGCTCAATTAGATGTGTTCCTGAGCCCATTTTGGGGACCAGAAATTAAGTGACGCTGATGTTTTCGTCACTTAAAGCCCTCTGATGAAACTATTTCCTACCAAGAGTGGGTGTGCATCTTATAATTTCCACCTAAAGGCAAACAAACCGAGAACTGAAAAACAAAACTGGGTCTTTGTTCTTCTGGCAGCACATTCAGAACCGATTATTCATTTGTCAGATCAATATTGCAATTCATGAGGATTTATAGGGTGGAACGGCAGGATTTCCCGCTCCATGTGAGGAAATTCTGTTGTGAAAGTTGTTGGTGCGCAGTGGTGAGCGAGTGTTTGTCTGTGGACGGCCTGTGTAACTGGTTTAGTTGTGGTTTATAGCTCATTCTGTTGTGCACTGGGACCCAGAAACCCTGACAGAAAGTCACAGATTGTTTTTTACGGCACACACTCTTCAGCCACTTGCATCTTCGGGCTCCAGGATACACGCAAACACACACAGCACTACAGCCCTCCCCTCTCTTCCACTCCGATGCTGTTTGCCAGCATGTGTCTGGAGTCTGTCGTGTGGCTGCAAAGTCACCTGGCACTGAGACTATCACAATTTAATTTATGTAGAGCAGTTTCCAAACATGCAAAAAAAAAAATCTCCCTCTTGCTCTTTCACACACACACTTGACTTCTTCATGGCTGCACTTTAACCGTATAGGCGCTAAGTTTTTCATGCATTTCCGCAGATTTTTCCGTGCCAGGGTTCCGCCCTGACCTGGAAGTTCCTTTTGCCCTGCCGCTGCATCCCCCTGAACTCACTAATTGTGAAAACATCTCAGCATTAACCAGTATTTACATCGTAGCGTGCACAGGTTGCTCAGCGAGAACCGTTTCAGAGCAGTAATAACTCATCCGTGTCTATCCATCTATCAGGTCAGAAATGGAAGACATATATGTATGTAAGGTAAATGATAAAAATGTAAAATACTTCAATTATAGTTTAATTGATAACTGTTTAATTGACATTGCTTATAGGTAAGCTGCTGGTTTTCCCTCTTTTGAATTAAAAGTCCAGATTTTAGGGTTTTAAGGAGACACATTCTGTGATTCACTGCTGCTTAAACTCAATTGAAATTGTTCTAAATTATTATTGGCGGACCAGAATCATGCAGATGGTAAAAATGACATAGAGCAAAAAAAAGCTGTCAGTAACTTACCGGAAATATGTAAAGGAAACACTTTCAGTCAGCACTTAATAAACCCTAACTCTGATGCTCAGATCAGGACACAAAGCCTTTGTTTTCTTCATCCCGGCCAAAGCCTTATGAAGGACAGCTGTCCGTGCAGTTGATTTTTTCAGCTGAATTCATACGAGTGTTTTATCCTGTTCAGCCTCGCAACAAGACAGGAACACAGGTCCTGCCACGCAGCCTGCATTTTGCATCCCAGTCTGGGAGAAACAGGTAACAACCAGTTCCATTCCAGCCCTGCAGGCTGCTCTGAAGTTCCTGCCCGACAGAGTTGGACATGGATTCGTGCTTGTTCATGACTAACAAATCTTGTTACGCTTGAAGGGAGCATATGTGTTTTTATCCCAGCTTTAATGTCATTCAGTTATTTAACCATAATTCCCCTGGCTAGCGCTCACAGTCCCCACGAAGCAAAAGCTCCCTGGCTGTTTGGAGGCCTCTCGGTGATCAAAAGCAGTTGCTTATACAGCGGCATCAGTGTTTTTTTGGCAGGAGAGGGATATTGTGACAGTCTTCGTCGTGTTATCCACGCAGACCAGCTTTCTCCAGCACTGCTCAAGGTGAGCGGCGTCAGGCCCTCCCGAGGGGAACCTCACATGTTTGAAAGGCAAGCAGTCCAGACGATCAAAACCCGAGTGGGAGTTTTCACACACGACAACAACTGAACACTTCCCTGTGATATCAGCTTGTGCCCGGACGTCTAAATGCAGCATCTCCAGCGCAAACACATTCCAGTAGTAATCCGGCAAATTCACAAAATGCTACGTAACGTGTTTTGGAGCAGCAACCACAGAATGTTCTATTTTCACTGCTGTGGATCCAACAGTCAGCATGAGGTCCACTCACTTTGAGCAGTGCGGGGGAAACGGGTCTATAGCTCTGTGTCAGCACAGAGATCACAGAGCTGATCACCACTACGTCTCAAAAAGAAGCGGAGCGGTCATCACACCGAGAACATCTCTGCCTGACTGCAGAGCAGCGCAGATTTATGTCTTTGCGCATGCGGCAGTTTGATATTTATTCACAAAACAGAATCACCTCGCACACCTAATATTGGGAGCTCATGCTCAGTGCCAAAGTTCTTATGGGCCAGACAGCCAGCACTGCTGGACAACTCACAGTACTGCTCAGTTAAAAACAAGGGGGAGACATCAAAGTGTAATTTAACTGGCTGTAAAGCAACAGGGCACCTTCCCTGCCTCTTTACTGACTGAGCTGAGTGGGGTCAGCCCACTGTGTTAAGAGGAAACACTATAAATTACACACCACACAGTGACTGAGAGAGACTGTTAACATGATGGTCCAACTGAAAAATGAATGATTTGATATGGAAAGAAATACAGAAAGAAAGAAATACAGAGAGAATGAAATACAGAAAGAATGAAATACAGAAAGAAAGAAAGAAAGAAAGAAAGAAAGAAAGAAAGAAAGAAAGAAAGAAAGAAAGAAAGAAAGAAAGAAAGAAAGAAAGAAAGAAAGAAAGAA